GGGGGGGCGGGGCGCCGCGGGGCCCGGGGCCAGAGGGCCCGAGCGCGGCGCTCACGGCCCGCGCGGTGCGTGTGTGTCTGTCCGCAGGGCCTGGAGAGCATCATCCAGCGGGACTTCTTCCCCGACGTGCAGAAGCTGCGGGCGCAGAAGGAGTACCTGGAGGCGGAGGAGAGCGGCGACCTGGAGAAGATGAGGCAAATCGCCATCAAGTTCGGCTCCTCCTTGAGCAGATCGGCCCGGGACACGCCCGCGCCCTGTAAGCACCAACCCGCGGCGGTTTCACCTTCCAGCCATGAGTATCGGCGTTTGAACCAAAACAAACCCTTTTCTTTTGTCGTTTCTATGTCCTAGGCTATGTGAGAGAGTGAAAAACTCACCTTAACAGGTGGGGGCCTCACTGCTTATTTGTTAGAACCTTCCAAAGACATAAGTGTTTATTTCTAATGTCATTGTTCCCTTTTATGCATCTTCATGCAAACTATGACTGTTTTAAAGCATCAACACTGATACTGTGTGGGGTTTTATACACTGTGTTGGGCGGTAGCCAGTGTCTGGTCTCTAAGGAGTTTAGTATCTAGCGCTGGACTTTTTTGATGGTGGCTAATAATTTGTTGAGAAAATGATTTTTTAGAAAAACAACTATAGAGTAACCCATCCTACTGGCGTATTTTGGCAGTCCTGTCCCCAAGAGCATGTTACTTGTTATAACTTGCAGTATTTTATTACCAAAAATCCTAGACTGATTTTGAATCATTATTATTGCGTTAGGTATTTTTACTGTACATGTAGAAGTATAACACGGTAATATACTCAGGAAGAAAGAAGGTGTTGAAAGCTCATGATTTTCAGTGCTTCGCAGAGCAAGCGTGGAGTGTACAGTTGTGTACTTGCTTTAAGATATTCAGATGCTTCCTATGTTAAAGCCCAGTGCCTATATAAGTTCTTGCTGTGGAGTTTAGCTCTCCCATGGCAAAGGCCATTGTGTCACCAAGTGCCTTCCTTTCCTTCCCCTATTGTAGGTGCTGGCACTGCCCTCCATTGATGTTGTTACCACATTAACATTTCTGCTTGCTTTTGTTGGTGAGGCCATAGATAGTATGGCAGATATATAGGAGATTTAATATCCTCTGCTGTTTTCAGTAGGAGACAAGTATTATCTTAGATGAAAGTAAAATTTTGTTCAGTGGCTGAAACTGAATTGCATAGAATATTTTGAAGGCTTTTCACAGCTCTTTAATTCATTAGTTCCTCTTTTTGTAACTATCTTCTGTGACTTGTTTGGCTCATGACTCTTGCTATGCTGCAAAATGTCACTGCCGCTGTTCTGCTCTGTGCTCTAGTAACCACAGGAATCCTTTTCTGTTACAGATGTTACTCCAGCCACATTTGAAACCCCTGAAGTGCATCCACGTCTTCCACTTGCCAATAAATCCAAGGTTGGCTTCAAAGCTGCAGAAGAAGGTAAGGGAATGTTGTTTGTTTGGCTAAATTCTTTAGCAGCTGAAAAATACTGGTGTGAGGTTTTTTGGTTTGGGCTTTTTTTTGATAATGGTTTGAGGTATTTAGCAGATATATAAGCCATCTCCTTTAGCCTTATAGTAGTAAAAAGAGTCACTCTGGTGTTAGATGTGATGTAATACTTTACAGCTCTGTAAATTCCCAGTTGTGAATCTCTTTATGGCTATATAAATCCTTGACTCAGTTGACTTCTTTGAAGACTTCTTTTTGACTTCTTTTCCTTGTCACACAAAATTAATTCTGTCATTAAGCAACAAACCAGGGACAGAACGATTCATATACTACTAAAAATGTCTGCTAGCAGCTGGCCATTTAATAGCTATAGCTAGAATAGCTACAAATGCTATTTTTTGTGAAAATTGGTTATACATCTTCCAAAATAACTTATTATGGTACTATTTTGTGTACACATTTTTTTTCCTTTCACAAGCTTCATTTTAATTGTTAGTGGGTCAGTAGAAGGCTGGCCCTCAGAGGGGATTAAGAGCTACGTACAACCCTTTTCTAGAAAGGGAAATGTTAACTACTCTCGGGCTTCTTCCCCTCCTCTTGTTAGGAGAAGCAGAAAAAGATGATAAAGATGAACTTCCCAGTCTGGACAGCTTCTTAGCAAAACACACGAGTGAAGATAATGCTTCATTTGAGCAGATCATGGAAGTGGCTAAAGAGAAGGAGAAAGTCAAACATGCTTGGCTGTACAGTGCAGAGGAGGAGTATGCCCAGGTAGGCATATGACTTTAGTGTATCTCATTTCTTCTGAAATGACACAAAAAGTAATCTGTTTTTTTCCATCTGTAACTCAAGGCCAATATTGACTTTGTCACTGAAGAACTGATGATCTGTCTGTGCCTAGAGTTTTAGGGCTGTGAAGCACTAAGCACGAGTACCAGTGTTTTGGGCAGTCTGTTCCATAAGGGCCAATCCAGCGGAGAGCAGCCATTCCTGATGTTTGTCCATCAGCCTTTTATTATTTGTAGTTAGATTTTTTTTTTTCATTTTCTATTCTATTACCACTAATAACCTGTTCAGCTGCTAATACAAAATATTGTACATGATAGGGCTATCTGTGCTGAAGAATTGTCGTCTTCAGCTAGCTTAGTGGGAGGTAGAGGAGATGTTTTGGAGGTGATATATCAGTCTCTCTAGATCAGTTGTGTTGAGGAGCTGACCCTGTTGCCAGATGTCAGTGACAGATTTAAACTGTAGTGCTTTTTAATGAAGATTGGCACTGACTTTTGAGTGTTCTTACTGTTTTACATGAGCGTTATGTTTTTTATCCCAGCTAATGTAAATCCTTAAAGAATCTGTGGTAATGATATGCCTTCCATGGCCCCTTGTGCATATTCATTGTTGTAATCCAGAGTTAAAAGGTGGAGAGCAGGCGAATGTTCCCAAAGCCCAGGGGTTGTGTCAGATCAGGTTACTGAGAGAGAGTGAAGCTTTGGAGCTGCTCTTGTGCTCGTGCTCTTTGTCTTTCTGCCAGCCAGCAGTCTGTGAGCAGACCTTGTCCTTTCTTGGAAAACGTGCCTATATATTTAGCAGAAAAAATTCCTATGCCTCATTTGATGTGTTCAGTACAATATAGCTTTTAAAAAATACATAGGTGATACCCACTACAGACAATATCAGTTAAAATCTCTTTCATGCAGCTCCTGAAAGTATTTGACTGGTTTGATTAGTGTGAGAACTTTCAAATGAGGTAATTTAGCAGTGGCTGACTGCCTTCCACTTGCTGCACGTTAATATCAGTGGTACTAGGATGCTGTTACAAGTATGTGGGTAAGAGTGTGAATGTCAGATGCTTCAGTGGCTGTATTGCCTATGGAAATGTTTGAATGCTCCCAAGCTTTGGCCTTGTAGATTACTCATATCTAAAATAATGACAATGTAACTTGGTCTTCCCTTTCTGAGCAATGAAGATAATGATTTACTTTTGATTTGTGGATTGAGGAAAAAGTAAAAGAACCTTGAACCCAGTATAAGTGTTACAAGACAAAATGAACAAAATCATAAACAAATTCTGAGAAGTTAAGCCTTTAGTCTTCACTTGAATTTTATGCGAGAACTTCATATGGAGCTCCTGTTTGCAAGCCCACATAGGAAGAAGATGTTTTTAGATTGCCTGTCGGCAGTGAGGGGGGGCTTTTGCCATGCGGATGCAGGGTGTGAGGGGGCACGTAGCTGAAGAGGGACTGAACTCTTCCAGAGGAATATGCCTGCTTAGGAGAATGCAGGATTCTGTTTCAGATCTGTGTTTTCTTTCTTTCTTTGTTTGTTCCTTTTAGCGACGAAATAACAACCTGGCACTTCCTTCAGCAGAGCAGCAGGCCCTTGAAAATGTGAAAGCTGGGCTGGAGACGTGGGAGTACACAGCTCGGAATACCCTCATGTATTATCCTACAGGTGAGGTGTGCGGGGCCTTCAGGAGAGCTGTTGGCTTGAGTGGTCTCATTCCAGACAATGCTATTAGTATTTCTACAAATCGACTAAGCAGTTCTTTCTGGTTATGCTGTATTTTGTTTTTCTGATAAAAAGTTCAGATAAGATGTAGTTTCCTACAGCAACTCATGAAGTAATCTCAGCTTCTTTTTGTAAATGTATAATCAGTATTTTCTGTATTTGATGCTCCACAGAAGTCTAATCTTAATTTATTCATAGCTTTCAGGTGTTACACAGCATAGATTAGTGCAAATATTATTTTGAATTGCTGGAGATAAATGACTGTACTTGCTGCTGGATTCTCACATAGAAATGCATGGCAAGTCTTATGTTCACTGGGACTTCAGGGCACATTGCCTAGTAGTACCTGAACTTTTTGTTAAAAATCTGTATGTATCATTCCAGGTGTACCCAATGAGGATGATATATTTAAGAAGCCCAGGGAAGTTGTCCATCGAAACACCCGTTTTGTGAAGGATCCTTTTAGTCAAGCCGTGAGCAAATCCCAGCTCCAACAAGCTGCAGCACTCAATGCTCAGGTTAGATGACTTTTATTGCTTCTGATCAAAACCTTGTTAGATTCTGCCTTCCTGTGTTGTTCGTAAAGCAGAACTGTGTGTGTGCTGGATAGAGCTGATTTCAAAGGCAAATGAACGATGTCTCTCTTTTTACAGTACAAACAGGGCAAAGTGGGACCAGATGGGAAAGAACTGATACCCCAGGAGTCTCCAAAAGTGAATGGATATGGATTTGTGGCTACACCCTCTCCTGCTCCTGGTAAGAGAATTGTCTTGGCTGTTGTGATGTAAGAGGATTAATGTTTCATTTATCACAATGCCCTGTCCATCTAGCAGTGGGATATTATTGTTGATGTTTAGACAAGTAGGTAAGCAGTCTGTCTGCATGTGTCTCATGAGCTGGTGGCTGTCTGGTGTGTAGTGTGTGTCAGCTTTATTCAGTGCTTAAATTCTACTCCAAGTACTGGAGACAGAAGTCGTGAAGTATCTGAGCTCTGAACACACTGCCTTGCAATTGCATTAGAATCACATAGGTTGAGGCATTCGGGGCAACTGGGGTGCTATGGAGCTTGTTTTATTCCTGGGCAGTACTTTTCTAGTGCCTAAAAGGATCTCAAACTTTTCACAAGCATTAAACTTCAAAAAAAATTAATTGCCCATCTAGCAAAGCAGGGAGCCCTCATGAAAAAATGTGTGTTGGGCAGTTTGCTGAGTGGTGGTTCAAACTGGCACACAGGGGCTTCTCTTGCTTTGTGGTCTAGCCTATGGTTTTCTCCACCTCTACTGCTTTCTAGCTTCTTCTCTCTTCAAATACACTTGTGTGTTGTAGATTCTTTTTGTTTAGATATGTTACCTGTGGGTTACTTCTAGGTAGAACATAGGAATTTTCTTCTAGGTTCCCCAGCACAAGAGGGATGTGGAGCTTCTAGGGAGGGTCTGGCATAGAGCAACAAAGATGATTAAGAGACTCGAGCACCTATCTTATCAGGAAAGACTAAGTGAGCTGGGCCTGTTTAGCCTGGAGGAGGGAAGACCAAAAGGAGATCTTATCAGTATATACAGATACCTGAGGGGAGAAAGAGCCAATCTCTTCTTGGTGGTGGCTAGTGATAGGACTAGGAGTAATGGGTACAAGTTGAAACACAGAAGTTCCATTTCCATGTGAGGAACTTCTTTACTGTGAGGATGATGGAGCCCTGGATCAGACTGCCCAGAGAGGCTGTGGAGTCTCCTTTTCTGAAGATCTTCCAAACCCGCCTGGATGCCACCCTGTGCCACGTGCTCTAGGTGTCCCTGCTGGAGCAGGGGGGTTGGACTAGATGATCTCTAGAGGTCCCTGGCAACCTCAACCAGTCTGTGATTCTTCTAGTTCAAATGTGGTCTCTGAGTGTTCAGCTTTCCTTCACCAACCACTATGTTTCCCTGACTTTCCTCACCAGCAACAAAGTGAGGCTCTTCCTTTGAAGAGCCTGTAGGTGGCATTTGCGGCACGCCTCCTTTCTGCAGCATAAATGCATTTTTTTCTGACTTCCGACAGTAAGATTCCCTAGCCAGTGATTTAATCAGGCTCTTGGAACCTATTCTGCAGCTGTTAGGAAAGTCAGTTTGTCACGTGCTAGCCTACAGACAAACTGAGAGTATGTCTGTCTGTTACATCTGTCTAAAGTCCTCTACCCTTTTTCCATGGTTCACTGTGTGTTTAAGGAGTTTTCATAGCAGAGTGGAAGACTAATGCTGTAGAAGGAAAAAAATGAAAGTGTCTCTAAGCAAAAGCACAGAAAATGGAAAAATAAACATGTCGAAAGGACAGTGGTAGTGTTACAACCTAGAGAGTAACACAGCTATAGGCAATCCTGTGGATTTAGGATCATGCCCTCATAATAGGATCCACATGTTATCGTTAAACACAGGATGTGATTTTTTTTTCCTTCCCCCTGTGATTTTTTTTCTCTTTTTTTTTTTCTCTCTTTCTCTCTCTCTTTTAAACAAAAATATCTTGCATCAGTCTGACTTTTGTAATTTCTTGTAGGTGTGAATGAATCTCCTTTTATGACATGGGGTGAAATTGAAAGCACCCCTTTGCGTTTAGAGGGATCAGAAACGCCATATGTGGACAGAACACCTGGACCAGCCTTCAAGGTATTTCATGCCAGGCTTCAGCATGTCATCCCTCCTTTTTTGTGGGAGGAGAAGGGAGGGCACACTAAAAAGGGAAAGAACTGATTAACTCGCAGACTAACGTCGCTGTGAGGTGTGTGACGCATCTGGGCTGTGTTTTCAGTCCTTGAGAATAATGATCTAGATTCTGCTGGGAGGGTGGAGGTGGACGTGGCTCCACATGAAAGCTGCGTGGTGGAGGTACCTGGGTGGAACACTCCTTGCTGGTGAGAGGATGAGACTCAATATTTTATAATAGGCTCAAACAAAGTGGCTTTCTGAAGAAGCTGGAGAGGTGTTGGATTTCTCTGAGTTTAACATGTGAAAGTAGAAATCTTTGGCTTCCCTCTGTCTTCATCTTTCTGCTATCACAATCAGAGGCAGCTGTATCACTTTTGGGCAGAAAAGGTACCCTGGATTTCCTAATAGCACCTGCCCATGTCGCCTGAGACCCTTTAGTTAGAAAAGGTGTAATTTGCTGTGTGGGCCTCTGGTTTGTCAGATATTGAAGCCCTTGACTGGTTTGCCCACTGTTTAGCAATGTGTGTGTTTGCCTGTGAGCTGGCTGGCTACAGGCCAGGCTGGGCAAGACACAGGTGACATTGTTTGCCTAGGAGAGACAGCAGGAGGAAATGCCAGAGGTAATGGCTGCTTCCTTGACTGAACTGGTTCTACCAATTTTGTTAGTTGTTAAGGCAGGCTGAAGGTCTCCCTGTGTCCTCTCTGGCTTTGTGTAGCAGCAGAGAGGAGTGGGCTGTCCTCCTTCCTCCCCAGTTTAGATCTTTGTGGGCTGCAGTACAACTGTGAAGGTGCTTTGACTCATTTATGCAGCACTCATATTGGTACTCTGATGAGTGAACTATGTGGTATATTTATAGATACTGGAGCCTGGGCGCCGTGAGAGGCTAGGACTTAAGATGGCCAACGAAGTAGCCGCTAAAAACCGAGCAAAAAAGCAGGAGGCCCTTCGAAAAGTCACAGAAAACCTGGCCAGGTAAGACTTGTATTCTGCCTGTACAGAGCCTGACAGCAGAATTGGGGATTTAAATCAATGTATGCAGAAAGGGTGGAATTACAGTGCTGGAAGCAGGAAGAGGTACAGTCAAGCTAAAATGTTTCAGAAGTAAAAAGAGACTTAATTCCCAAGGAAATGCGTTTGGTGGCTGATCTTGATTTTTTCCCTCCTGTGAGCCTTACTGTTCTGCCCTACAGCACCTAGGCAGTGCTCCAGAAATATGACCTGCCACGTTGCAGTAAGAAGAGGCATGAAAAGGCTTGCTTAATTGGGTCACACAAAGGACAGAGCAGGCTCAAGGGAAAGACAGGCAGTGCTGTTCATATTTGGGAGGGACATTAGATGTATCTGTGTTACTGTAGCTCTCTAGAGAGATGGGCTGCAATTACCAGCTTGGAAAATGACTTCTCCAGCCAGTGGGTCTGGCCTGGAGGAAGTGGTCACCAAGCTCTCCTGTAGCAGTACTGATGCTCTTCCTGATAAATGGCCAATTTTTAGTGTAAAATATTTGGTTTTTTTTTAATTCTATTCCAGCCTTACTCCCAAAGGACTAAGCCCAGCTATGTCACCAGCTTTGCAACGGCTGGTAAACAGGACTGCAAGTAAATACACGGACAAAGCGCTGCGAGCCAGCTATACCCCTTCCCCGGCCCGCACGGGAACGCCTGGCTACAAGACCCCCGCCGGTGGGCCCCGAACCCCCACCGGCACCCCGCTGCCAAGGACAGTGTCTCAGACACCAGTGTCTCAGGATACTACTTCAATCACAGACAATTTACTGCAGCTTCCTAAAAGAAGAAAGGCATCTGATTTCTTCTAACGAATTTCTGATTTCTTAAAAATATTCCTTTCATCATCAAGGCGATACTGAAGTAGCTGCCAACTGGATGTTGTGGAACCGTCAGTATTAAGCGGTATCTATGTGCAGCTGTCAGAAGAGGACCCAGAAGTTTCTAGATCTGGGACCAGCTCTGCTGTTAGACCACATAACTCAAGTAGCCTATGATGTGTTTTTTGGAAACAAAACATTTTCTATTGTGCTATAACTTCCCTTGGAACCACAGGGATATGTTGTACAAGGCTGCTGTAGCATGTGGATGCTTCCTGCAGTGGCAGAGAAAAGTTTGGACTCTTGGAAAACAGCAAGGATTTTGTGAAGATATTTTTCTCTTTTTAAAATTACCCTGTGGACTGCATTTCAATACTTCTGTGTACAGATATCTCTATTTATAAAATGTGGTAATACTTGCTCAAAGGTTGACTAAACCTTTCTCTAGCGTGTTAAAATTCCTTTTGTTCTTTGCAGAAAAGGGGGATAGGTCTTATGACTTAAAAACGAAGATACAGTCAAGTCTGTAAGCTCCTCAGTTCCATGTTCCAACTGTGTATATACTAAGACAGGACCCAGAATTTTAGCGGTCTTCTCTTTAATTTGACCAGAGCTTAAACTGATGATCTTGAGTGTACAAGGGGCCTGTCAGAGAGTTAGTACCTTGAGAACAGTATACACATACAGTTTTGGACATCAGTTGACACTTCCTAAAAACCTGCCCTGCCCTTGTGGTACTGAACCCACAATGTGGCTAATGCACGTGCGACTCCTTCGGCCAGTGCAAACAGGAGCTTGAGAGGTGAGCAGTGATCTGCAAATGCCCGTCAACAGCACAGTGACCTGAAGGAAAGCTTCCTAACGTGCATCTGGCAGTAACTTCTGCTCCCTGCAAACCGTATCAGAGAGAGGCCTTTTGGGTAGACTAGTGTTAAGGTGTTTGTTTGGCTCAGCAGGTGCACTGCATCTTCCATGCTTTGCTTGTAAAGCAGAAGACAAGGACTATTTCTGAAAGGTTTGCAGAATCAGAAGTTCACGAGTGGATCAATTGCTGTGATACTGTTAAAACCAGCTATAACTAAGAGGATTCCTTTTCCCCCTCTCCTTCCTTTTCTGCAGGCTGCGATTCTGCTTGCTGGTTTGGCTCAGATTTTTGCTCTTGCAGGTTCTGGGAACACTCGCCCTCTTCTTCAGCTGGTGCTGTTGAAGGTTGTGCAGGTTCTGGAGTCTGCAACCAAGGGTGGCCTAAAACTTGATCTATGTTCAGCCTTAGAGACACATCTGGCTGCAGCATGCGGTAAATGAGGTCCTTGCATGCTGCAGTCAGGTGTCTGGACTTGGGGAAGTGAATCTTGTGTTGTTTCTGAACCCAGACCATTTTTCTGATGTTAGAATCATCAAATGGCATTAATGCACAGACCATGATATATAGGATGACCCCCAGGCTCCAAATGTCACAAAGCTTGGGATTACAAGGAATGCCCTGTAGCACTTCGGGGGCTGCATAAGCAGCAGACCCACAGAATGTTTTACTGAGCGCAATTTGCCCATTTTCATCCCGAGTTAAGGTTTTGGAAAAGCCAAAGTCTGACAGCTTGATGTTGAGGTCTTTATCAAGAAGGATGTTCTCACATTTCAGGTCCCTGTGAGCAAGATCCATGTCATGGCAGTACCTGATGGCAGACGCCAACTGCAGAAACTTTCTCTTGGCGATGTCCTCTTTCATGGCTCCGGTAACCTTGATGTAGTCCAGAAGGTCTCCCCTTACCCCCAGCTCCATTATGATGTACACTTTGCCAACGAATGTTTCAAATATCTCGTAGGTTCTGACTATTGAGGGGTGGTTCATACGTTTCAAAGCAGCTATTTCCCTGGGCAGAAACTTTTCCAAGAAATCCTGAGGCGTTTTCCTCTTGTCGATAATCTTTATTGCCACGTTGCATTTCAGTCTGTCGCAGTAGGCTGCTTTCACCTTGCCGTATGATCCTTCCCCCAGCGTGACACCCACATTGTAGCCTCTCTTCCCAAGCACCATGATATCTTCCATCGTATGGGAATGGTGGTGAGCAAGGGGGGCCGGGGGCGCCTCATCCGCACCAGCACGCTGCATGGTGCCGTTCCATGGTGGCTGCCCGGGCGCTTTGCGCCGCCCGGGGCCCGCGGGTGCCCAGCGCTGCGGCTCTGTGATGTCACAAATCCTGGGAATCGAAGGAGCTTTTCCAGCCCCATGGGGAAGCTACGGGGTGCCGTGATCCAGGGCAAAACTTGGCATCAGGGCCCCAGGAAGCATCGGTTTGAGCTCCGCCTCATAAGTGGTCTTTGTGTTAAGCTTTGCCAAAGGCATGGATGTAGCTTAAACCTTTTAATTTCATCTTTTATAAAATGATTCTAATACTTTTTGTATCTGCTTATATGTTAGTCAGGTACTCAATTGTGTGTTAAAATAATTTGGCAGGGAATGATTATGTTTAGGGCTTTCTTTAATTGATATTTTTAATAGCTTTTTAAAGGAAAAAATAACACGCGTATGGAGGTTGTTCCTGGGGGTGGCGTCTTCAGGATTTGCTTGGTCATTTTTAGATGTGTTTTCCTTGAGATAAAAAGGACAAGAAATTGACTGATGATAACGTCGTTCACAAAACAAGCCATTTCCTAAAGCATAAAAGTATGGAATTTTTTTTCTGAAATAACTTAATTCGGTGAAATATCACTCTTGGAGTATTATACTTTTGGAATATTTTCTTCTCCTCATTCTTCTTTTTCTTCCTCTTAATACAGTGAAATTTAGTACGAGCACTTTTTGCTGGTTATCTTGAAGTTTCAAAATGTGTTGGGAAGCCAGTTAAATGGGCTCACTGTGCAAGGAAGCAGCACTCTCCTTATGCTGTTTTGGGTTGAAGGTTCAATTCGCTCAGCTCCTGTGTTTTGCATTGCTGAGGGCTGGCTGCTTTTGTAGGCTTTGCTGCTGCCTTCTTAAACCCTCCTTGCTTGATGCTTGAGCTGTGTTTTGACTTCCAGGTTCTGGTATTCTAGAGGAAACCTTGTGCTAACAGCTTATTCAAAAGCTGTTGTTTTGCATGTTGATTGCTTCACCATAATCAGCCTCTGGGGGTTTTGCTGTTTTGATTTCAGCTTTTTCAAATTGGTCTTTCAGCTCCCACGTGTGCAACTTCAAAGACTTGATGAAACCGTGGCCACGAACAGTTGTATGTAGTTCACTAGAATGGATAACAATGTCATTCTAAAGAACAGAAATGATACAGCCAAACTGAGACTTCCCCCCTCCCTCTTTCTTTGAAGTTTTGGGCTAGTTTTCCTAATCATCCCCAAAATCAAAGAGTTGCTTTACGTGTGCATAGGCTGCCCGCAGAGCTGTGCTCGTCCCCGCATGAGGTGACCTTTGAATGCGGGATGAGTGTTTGTGCCCGGGGAGGCAGCGAGCACCTTGGAGCAGGAAGCGGGCAGAGCCCAGTGTTTACACTTGCACCACTCCAAAACACAGGACAGCCTACGTCATGTTTGTCAGGTTTGATATTTGCTATAATGAGGCGATGTCTAACCCAGGGAAAATTTTATACAGCTCTTTGGGGAGTGCCTCCAGCTTCTGTGAGGGTTTGGATCTTGCTGCACTTTTTATCTTGGAGGGGAGCTGTCTCTTGCCATATCTAAAACTCATGTTCTTTGGCTGTGAATATGCTATGAAAACCCTTCCAAAGCACTTGACTTTCATAGTGTTCATTTAAAAAAATCCTCCAATCAACATGACATTGATAGGAATAACAACTGTCACTGTGTGAAACGAATAATTTTTCCTTTTTTTAGTTTAGAAATATATAAAGGCTAAATGTTTTCTTGAAGCTAGGCAGTAAAGTTAATCAGATATTCATGTATGCATGTAAAGAGAATCCATTTACTAACTTCCATGTTTTCAGAAATGCCCTTTAAGGACTGAACTGACTAAATAGCCACAAAATCTTGGCTAAATGTTTTTTCACGATCCCATGACCTGCTTGCCTGCCCGAAATGCAGGGCCCCTCTGTGAGGGCGCACAGGCCCTGGCCTGCGCTTGAGCTTCCTCCTCCGCCTCCCTCGGTGCTCCTGCTGCTCCCGGCTGTCCCAGCCCTCGCGCTCCGGCCGGGGCCTGGCGCCGCGCTCTGCGCCGCGGTGCCTCCCGGGCAGTGAGGGCTGGGAAAAAAGTGCTGGGGGCAGAGGAGCTCTGAATGCAGAGCTCGTGGTTCATGTCCCCCTCTCCTGTGAGGGCAGAGAAAGCAGCCGGGCAGCGAGCGGCAGGACCAACATCCCTGTGTCACCAAGTGGTGCATCCTGCTATGGCCTTTCCTGCAGCTTGGGGGCATCGCTGGGATTGGAGATGTGCTGATGGGGGCTCCTGGACAGGAGCTGTCCCCTTGCTCTGTGACAGTTCCCTCTTGCTTCCCAGACTGAGACTTTGAAGGGCAATGTGGAGACATGTGGACGGGTAAGACACACAGGTACCCTGCAGCAGAGCGGATACCGGGGTATCCCTGAGCATCCCCCATCTCTGCTGGATGGAGAGAGCAGAGAGACCCTTCTCTCTCTCAGAAATTCTGCATGGGACTAGTCTGGCTTGAAACCTGCTTTTGCTTCTGCTACTTCTCCCCCAGCAGCCTCTTGGGACCAACCTTTCGAGGGGGAAATAAGAGAAAAAGGGACATGCAACATGCTGCCCTTTGAGGAGTAGTGGGTGATGGAGACCCGTTGGGAATTGTTTCCACAAGGAGCACAGCAAGCGGAGTGTGCCATTCATGTGATGATTTATCTAGATGTTCATGTTGATTCACATTCCTTCACGTGTGCAGTGACTCTCGCTTCCGTAGGCCAGGAACGCCACCCTCCCAAATTGGAGGAACACAGTGAGCCACGGAAGCGCTCGGGCTGAAGACTGATCCAGACTCAGACTGGAGACGCTTCGAAGCAGGCGTGTATAAAATTATATGTGGGAGGTCTGCAGGTGATGTGGGCAGACATCCATGTTTTTAGGGGAGAGATGTCAGATTTTGGGAGACCACTCCTGGGAAAGCGGAACAAGGCTGGTGCTTTGATGCTGGAAGGCCTCGTGGTGGCTGTGTAAGCACTGATGACTTCTTGAGCTTCACAAAAGCTTGACAGTGTGATGCATCCTTAACCAAATGTAAATTCCTTCTGTTCTCTTGGCTGAAATCAAATGCAAGGTAGATCATCCCCTCAGGAGAGTTTTCTGTAGGGATGGGAGAGATTTCACCAGAAGCTCTGTCATTTTTCAATATGTTAGGATATCCCCGCTGGCATCTACAGCTGCTCTAGCAGTGTGTGGGTCTGCAGCAGGCTTTTCCATGTCTGTCAGGCTCTGCGGATGTCCTCAACTCTGCCAAGAGTACAAGATAGGCCTGGACATCTATTGTAAACACCCGAATTGCTTTTGTGGTCAAAGGCAAGATCTAGGATGTGTGTTAGCAAGGCTAATTTTAAAAAGAGGCTCTCTAGAACTTTTCTCCTGTGATTACAAGTAGCTCCTATTTTTTTCCTCTTCCTGTTATTCATAAAGAAATGATTCTCAACATCAGCAGATGTTGACACCTTTCAAGGAGGTGAGAACAAAGCCTCAGCTCTCACTTGATGCCAGGACAAGACTGTCCGTGTTGGGTCTGATCAAAGGACGGTCTAGCACAGAGCTGTGTCCTGGGAAGGACCTGGCTACAGATCCTCCAGGAAGCACGTAAGGAGCAAGGCACAGGTGGAGTGGGGAGAGGAGAAGATCCGAGTCCGCGTCCTGACACAGGAAGGGAGCTGTTTGGAGGGGTCTGCACTCACCCTTGCTCCCTGCCTCTTGGAAGCTGCATTTCCAACAGTGACAGCGTTTAGAGTTAGTCCTGTTTGGTGAGTGAGTTCTTGGTGATGCTGAGGCGTGTGCATGCCATGCATGGTGACTTCCCCACGCCTAACCCTACCAGCCTGTGCAGTTGTTCCTGTTGTGGGGTGAGGCTGGCTATTTCTTGCGGCTGTTGAGAGAACAAATGCCAGCTTCGAAAATATAAAGCACTTCGTAAGCCAACTGTAAGACGGAGGCTGCAGCCATCTTTTCTTTAAGGCAGATGGCTATTGGCTGCGCGGGGCTTTTAAGGAGAGCGTGGGTTACTTTTGTATGTGAAGCTATGCTGAGTGCATGAAGATAATAGTGAGAAGCTGAGGATTTAAGGCCACAGGAGTTTGCTAATATCCTGTGATAACTATCCTCAGCTCATTCAAAAATGGGGAGACTGCAGAGCTTCGCAAAGGACGGAGGGAGCAGGGAAGGGGTAGGAGCCTGGCTCGTGTCACAGCCAGCTCTGCTCCATCTCCCTGAAGCTGAACCGTCCAGCCCCAGCCTTCCTCGTGGCACAGATCAGCTCTCTTGCCACACTCACTTCTTTTACAGCTCGCGTGATGCCTCCGCTTCCATGGGTGGGAGGGAGTTGTCTTGTGCAATGTTTGCTACTTTGAGTTGTTGCTAAACAACTCCTCTTGCCTCCTCTTGCACCTTTAAATTCAAATCTAGACCTAAATGTTCATTTAGGGGAGAGAGAGAAGGGGGTGGGGGGGAAGGAGTGTTAGTAAACCCCAGAGTGAATCCAGGGAAAAATTACCTGGGCCTTAAGTTGGGTGCAGAAGTCCAGTGAGATAATGAAGAAGAGAGTAAACCTGCTTTGCCAGGAAACCTTCTATAGTGAGGCTGGAGAGGAGCGATTGGAGATGAGTGACATCCAAAACAAGACTTGCTGCCTTAAGTTGCTGTGTTGCAAGGTAAATGCGTTGGCTTTCCAGGACGTGGATTTTATGGGAACTGGTGCAGAATTAGAAAGCTTTGCAAAGTGCTTCCAGGGTGGCATTTCATGGTGCCATGCTCTATAGTAATGGAAGAATTTTATAAAGAACACTATATTTTGTAATCTTTTCCTCTGATTTTGAAGAAAAGATATTCGTATAGTCTCACTCGAAGCATCTAGCATTTAGCTCCTCTTTTTCTCTGTGGAGAAACCTGAGTTTCCAATACAAGCACTCTGGATTCCAGTACAAGCACTGGGTGGAGCAGTTTTCTGCTGCTGGAGAGGGCTCCTCACTCGAAGCATCTAGCATTTAGCTCCTCTTTTTCTCTGTGGAGAAACCTGAGTTTCCAATACAAGCACTCTGGATTCCAGTACAAGCACTCTGGGTGGAGCAGTTTTCTGCTGCTGGAGAGGGCATGTAAACTTTTAACCTAGATTACTGCCTGCTGTTCACCTGTGTAAATCTAACTTTCAGTCCCAAGGTATCATCGGGAGATATCATGAATATTGTCGATAGTAACGTACTTTTAATGGTCAAACTGTTAAAGAGTTGCTCTTCCAGTGACATCTGTCAAAGTGCCTGGTGCATCTCCCTCTGCAGTGGACATAATGCTGGCAGCATTCAAAACTGCAATGACTGTCTCCGGGGTAGAAGACTCATCCTCCTCTAGGTTGCAAGCCGTAGGAGATGGGTCTGTTTGCCCCTTGTGCGCAGACACATTCTGGGAATCCTCACCCTCATCAGTGTCCACAGAGGAATGAACTGGGGCTTCTAGAGTCTGCAACCAAGGATGGCTTAAAACTTGATCTATGTTCAACCTCTTCGACACTTTTGGATGCAGCATGCGGTAAATGAGATCCATGCACAGCGTAGTTAGATTTCTAGACCTGGGGAAGTGAATCCTGTGTTGTTTCTGAATTATGACCATTTTTCTGATGTTAGAATCATCAAATGGTATTAATGCACAGACCATGATATATAAGATGACTCCCAAGCTCCATATGTCACAAATCTTGGAGTTAGAAGGAATGCCTTGTAGCAACTCAGGGGCTGCATATATGGTAGACCCACAGAACGTTTTACTGAGCACAATTTGCCCATTTTCATCCCGAGTTAAGGTTTTGGAAAAGCCAAAGTCTGACAGCTTGATGTTGAGGTCTTTATCAAGAAGGATGTTCTCACATTTCAGGTCCCTGTGAGCAAGATCCATGTCATGGCAATACTTGACGGTGGACGCCAACTGCAGAAACTTTCTCTTGGCGATGTCCTCTTTCATGGCTCCATGGCTCTTGAGGTAGTCGAGGAGGTCTCCCCTTTCCCCCAGCTCCATCACAATGTACACTTTGCCAACATTGGTCTCAAATATCTCATAAGTTTTGACTATTGAGGGATGGTCCATACATTTCAAAGCAGCTATTTCCCTGGGCAGAAACTTTTCCAAGAAATCCTGAGGAGTTTTCTTCTTGTTGATAATCTTTATTGCCACTTTGCTTTCCAATCTTTCACAGTAGGCTGCTTTCACCTTGCCATACGAGCCTTCCCCCAGCGTGACACCCACGATATAGCCTCTCTTTTTGAGCACCGCCTTTTCGTCCATCGTGCAAGAGGCGCCCGGGCCACGGGGGCTGGTGCTGGGCACGCATCACGCGCGTTGGCAGGCTCCGTGTCCCCGCTCCATGGTGGCTGCCCAGCACCTTTCCCTCCCGCCCCGGGCGAGGTGGAACTGGGGCATTGTGTGAGGTGTGGTGTGGGGCTGTGATGTCGTTATGGAAAGAGCCTGCTTGTGCTCGAGTGTGTAGTTCTGGGCTTGACTCCATGGAAAGAAGGAAATGATGGGGGAACCACAAGAACTTTTTTTATTCATATAAGTGGATAGGAAAAGAATAGGATTCTAGCTCTTTTTTTTTTTGGCGGGTGGTAATTCTGAAAAATCATGGTGTCATCATTAAAAGAGAGAGAGTTTCTAGAGTTTTTAGAGAAGAGCCAACAAGGAGGCGAAAAGAGATGCTATAACGTCATGGATACATCTCCATCATGGAGAAGACACGTTCAGATGCTTTCAAGAAGTAAAACTCTGAATGCATTAAAGTTTACTGTTTCTCCTTTTCTTCGTGGTACACAGGTAAGAAAACCTTGACCAGGGACAGCAACAGCAGGGTTTGGTGAGGCTAATCATAAGCAAAGAAAGTCCTAAGATCACAAGGTGCTTTGAGCAACCACCCTGGGCAGTTCATGCAGCCCTGGCCTAAGCCCCAGCAAAAACCCAGAAGCAGCTCCTGAGGACAGGATGTTTTCCCTGACTTGCTCAAAGCCTCTAGTTCCTTCTGCACTTAGCACTTTTTTTTTTTTTTAATAGAACCAAGAGTATTTCCTCAAGACAAAAGTAACTCACCCATGGCCTGATGCAGGATCATGGGTGCTGCAGAGCAGGGCCAGGCTGGGCAGAGGTTGGCCAGGATGCCACGGGTTGGCTTAGCAAGGGGCTCTCATTTGGGTTCCACCAAAGGAACTTTGCACTGATAACGTAAAAACAATGCCAATTTTTACTTTTCGGATTATTTAGCTCAGAAGTGAAGCTGTGGTTGGAAATATGTGAGAGGACTGTGGTATTTCTTTGCAATAATCAAGGAAAGGGATCTAATTGCTCAGGGTAGGGAATGATGGGGAAATTACTGCTTCCTCACATGTGCATCTGTAGACACTTCATTACGAATCCCTGCTCCCAGCTACTGGGCTGTACAGAGGCACTGGCCTCATAGCAACCAGTCTGCAAACAGCAGTTCAAAAATAGGGCCCTTGACTTAAAATGAGAGCTGGGTTTGGATGGTTGCTGTTTGATCCCTTGGCTCTATTCCCCTGGCATAGCCAGCACCTCCTCCCTCTAGTGAGCCCAGAGAACCTCTACTCAGCACTTGGGTTATGCTGGGGGGAAAAAGAGAATTTAGCAAGTGATAACAAGAAGTGTCGTGGTGATACTCGATGAGTGCTAGCCCAAGAGCTGTGTGTGCGAAGCTGAGCAGCCAGTCGGCTGCCCCAGGCACACTCCTGTCAACACAAATCCCTTCATGAAGGGAATGACTGGGAGGGAGGGGAACAAGTCCCCGTAAACAGTGTGTTGTGCCAGGGGAAAGCGTGGCCCATGCCTTGCTCTTCATTCCCACCTCCACATTGTCACTCCCCAGGGTTGAGAGCGTTCAACACCATGAGGGGCTTCTTAGCACTTTGGAGCAACATCAGTACTCGAGCCCCTCTGCAGGCACAGCCTGTCCTTCTCTCACCTCTGAGCTGGGAACTGCACAGAGGAACAGGAGCAGTGGACCAGCCTGCTCATGGTCCTCCCTGGCTGGGAGCTGCTGGATGTAGCTGGCCTTAAGGATGACATCAGCTACCCCTATCTTGAATCTTGCTAAACAGAGTCATCCACACAACTACGCACCTCAATTTGGCCCAAGAAAGGGACAATATGCTTCCTCTGCTGTGCACTGACAGGGGTAGTTCCCTGCCCTGGTGCTACTCTGATCTTCACACGTGTGCTTTGACCTCCGTGTCTTTGTCCCAGAGGATGTTGTCATGCTTCAAGTCCCTGTGGACAATATCTGGATCATGATACCTCAAACTTCTCATAAATCTTGGTGGCTCCCAAGGCAGTGGCTCCCCCCTGCCAGTGTCTTGGGCTCCCAGGGGAGCTATCATTCCAGGAGCTCCTCAGGCACTTTGTTTCGGTCAACAGTCTCCACTGTCGTGATGAACTTCGGCTGCTCCAAGTGGGCAGATGGCACTTTGGCAAAGGAGCTCTCCCTTACGTTCTCCCCAAGCACCTCAATACCTCCCATGCAAGCAGAAGCAGCACGTGCCCAGGAAACTTGCAAAAGCACCTTGTGCACCCACCTGCAAGCCAGCAGCCTGCTCTGGGTCCTGTCCGCTGGGTACCACATGTCCCTGCAGCTGGGGCTGGGAGCTGGGCAGAGCAGGAGAGCTGGGAAGAGGCCAGGGAAGGTGCCAAGGAAGGCACAGGAGGTTTCCTGCTGCCTGAGGTGTAGCTGTCTGATAAGGAGGTGCTGGTGCTCCTTGCCGGCGGCTCACAATAGATAGAGCAAAGCCTGGCTGGCTGGGAGGCTAGTGTGGCCCTGAGGTGGCAGCTGGCAACATGTCCAGTGGCCACCTGAGACCAGGGCACATTACGGGCCTCAGGTCTCGGTGGGTGCCCTCCAGACGACAGTCCATGGCAATCGAGCTGCTGCTGAGTCGCATCACTTCGTTGAGCAATAACCCTGCAGGCTCCCTTCCCTCGTTATTGATGTGCTGTGCAGAAACAGGAGCAAAGAGCAGGGATATGGGTGCATGCATGTACAAGTAATATGAATATTATACTCGTTTATTTCACTTACATTAAAAAAAATGCAGGCAGCTTCCCAAGTTTTAGCTTTGTTCTTAGTTCTGAGTTGAATTTTACTGAAAAGCTGGAATTTCTTGCAGAATAAACTACCCGTTTCCTGCCTACACCCTGTGGCAACCACAAGGCAAACAGCGTGCTCAGCCCCTTGCAGAGCTTGTGGTCCGGCTGGATGCTCTGGAATTCCCCCAAATACCAGGACATCCTCTTAGGCCATCTGAGGAAATTCCAGCTTACCCAGGGAAGTGGGTGTTCAAGGTACCTTGGCCTTTTTATCCTTTCTAATACAATCTTGGGCCTCTTCAACAAGTAATGAAAGCAAAGCGGCTTCATGGAAGGCACCAGCCATTGCCTTGTAGCTCCTCTAGTGCCCCTCAGAAGCTTGTGACATTGCTCCTTGTTTTCCCGAGGTGTGATCTGCCTCTGGGCCCTGAAGCTGTGTCAGGCAATCCATTTACAAGAAGGGAAAAGGCTCTGTTGTTTTTTTATTTTTTGTGGGAACAGAAGAGCTGAGGCACAGTCTAGGAAATCAGGTGTTGGAAAAAAGTAGGACAGGCTAGAAAGTTTGCAGAGATTTATGAACTGGCACTGGGGAACAGAGCAACCGAGGTCTGGGCTGGTTGCGGATCATCTCTCCGGGCGGCGCGGGCTCTGTTCTCAGGAGCCTGTCAGTCTAAGGTGAGAACAAGCTGCAAGCGGGCTGAAATCAGGACTCCAGCTACCTTGGTGGCAAAAACTGCAAGGAGCCTGAGGTGACTGAGTGCTCTGAATTATCGCAGAACCAAACCTGGGTGTCTGCAGGCAGCACGGAAGGGTGCAGAGATTTCTCCAGAAATCACTCACACCGCTACAGCCTGAGCTTTTACAAGGGTGGCTGTCCCTGGACTCCTAAAGGCAGCAGGTAGCAGTTAAGAGACATAGCTCAATGGCAAGGCATGGGACATGTCAGGGGACAAGAACAGAGAGGAGGCACTGGCACCTGGCTTAGTGGGTGGCATGTGGAGGGACCATAGTAGAGGGGACAGGACAGAGTGTGGCAGAGTGAGATGCTCCCAAGTGCTAAAAACACGTTGGTTCACGAGGAGCGTTGCCCTGGTAATGCCACCACGGGCTCTTCTGCAATCTTCAGGGTTGTACTGCTGCTTTTTGCTGGAAATAAAAACCACCTAAATCACATCAGAGGTGACAATCCTGCTCCTCTGCTTCAATGGGCTGTGATCTGCAATGCTGCCGTGCTGAGGACGCAGCCTCCCTCTGCAGAGGCTTTCCTCACACTGGCAGCGCTTCAGGGACAACCACCACCCAGTTTGATGTGGAGCAACACCCAGGGTCAAATTCCTAAATGCGCCTGTCATTTTCAGGGCCATTAAAGATGATTTGGGATGCACAATTAACCTTTTTTTTTTTTTTTTCTTCTATGCATTTCCTCTCTGGAGGGGCTTGAGAACCTGGAATGCATCTGTTTCCAGGAGGTATAGAAATAGCAGCCAACCTAGTCACTGTTGTAATTACGAAAGCTCTGTCTGTGCATGGTGAAACCAATGGACTTACTGCAGAAATGTCACAGTGCTGGACACTGCATCGTGTCAGGGAGTTACCTGCTTGTGTCTGCACACCTGAAAATCGCTGGAAAATCAGGGAAAGCATATGAAAATATGGCATGTCTTATCCCTGCCCAGGTGTGATAGTAGATTAGACAAAATAGTCAAAGGACAGTTAGCCTCTGTGACTAGTGACAAATCAGCTTCTGTGAGGCAGCCCTTCACTTCCAAGGGTGGCATGTGCAGCTCTGGCCACCCCAGAGGCATCGGGAATCTGGGGACAAGGAGCTTGTGGCAGGGGAAGGCCATGCCAAAGGAGGATGGAGGTGCCTGAGAACAGCATCCTGGCTGGGGATGTGGTGGGGACCATGCTGTCAGGGATGGAGGTGACCAAGTAAGACCAGGCATCTCCTCCAAGGGGGATAAAGGTGTTGGGACAAAGCCTTTCCAGAGGAGATGGAGGTGACTTGCTAAGGCCTTCATGGATGGAATGTTGCAATCAGGAAAGGTCATCCCAGCTGGGATGGAGGTATCCTGCCAAGGCTGCCCAGGCGGACACAAAGGTGGCTGCTCAAGGTGGAAGTGGCAGTGATGTGGACAGACCTTCCTGGTGCACATGGACGGAGTGTGGGAAGACTTCCCTGACTGGGGACAGTGATAACC